ATCAACAGGTAAGGGTAATTTTGCTCATCCCTATTCCTCTTTCCGTCATGTTCCTAAGACAGTGTGTTGAAGATCTTACTTCATCTCAAGTAAGTCGAACATAATATAGATTCTTGTAATGGAAATGCGTTGGTCACTAAGGAGTTATGGGCTTAGGGATACTATAAAAAAGGTAAGTATAATTATTGGGATTCCTATTGTGTTTGAACATATATCAATCAAGTGATTGTAACTTAAAATATGTTTGTTTTGTGATAACCTCCAATTTTTAGAGTTATTTGTCACTCCTTTTAGACCCTTTTAACACCCATTTGATCCTTTCACTTTTTTCTTGGTCAAAATTGTTCTTAAAGATAAGAAAAACTGAAAAATTCAGAATTTGTGACTTAGACCGCCATTTTGGCCACAAGTGTAGCCACTGCAGTGACAATGACTTAAAGATAATGCAACGATTTTATTGCCAAAATGGTGAAATCAACATTTGTCTTTATCAAGACTTAACCCTGAATTATTCATGAAAAATGAGATGTGGACAAAAAGAGCCAAGACAAATGGAGCAAAAAGACAACATTTTAGAGGTCCCTTTCCCTTTCTCAAGTCACTTTCAAGTTCTCTGTCCTCTTCCACCTATATAATGGAGTGTGGATTTACAACTTGGAGCATACTTGGAACCATGGAGCATGAGATGAAAATAGTTCTTCATTGTAATCTTGTATTTCCTTTGGTTAGAGCTTAGTTGTAAGTTGCTTTCTAGTATTTTCATTTATGAACCATTGTGGCGACCAATATGGCTACAATGACGAACTTTTTCTTAATGCAATATATCTTTAAGTATTTATTATATTCTACCATGTACTTTATTTTAAGCTTGAGGTAAACCCCCCTTAGGTGTAGGTGTAAGTCAAACCTAAGAAGCAATATGTAACACTTGCATGTTACCGCTTTTTGCTAACTTCTCGATTTGTACTCAAGTTGAAGCTTTAACTCAACACAGACAAGTCGATCACTTGAATGTGTTAATATTAGATCTCTGACCTAGAGATGGAAGGATTCGAAATACAACTTGAATGATACAAGGAGGTTTGAGAAAATCTTCAACAATCACATAGAGATATGAGTTTTTGCATAAATTTCAATAGTATTCAGGATATCGATCTAGTTTTTGTGTCACAGAGATATACACATCTCTTCAAATTGGTGGAAACTACAATTTTCCAGATCTACTTAGTAAAATTGGCAATCCAAATTTGTGGCACTTTGTGACTGGAATGTTGCTACATTCCAACATAGTTTACTTTCGAGAGGAAGAAGTCATGAAGGGTTATTGTTTGACTGGTCTTTCAACCATAAAGTTACTCTATATATTTTTGTGTAACATCTCTAAGTTTATAAAATAACACACAGTTTAAAACTTCCAAAATATTTTAAGTTAAAACAACTTTAATAAAATAATATTGAAAGTTTACAATGGAAGACAAGACATGCATCAGACTTCTAAATGGATAATCTAATCTTTGACATAATTAGAATAGGTCGGATGTTACTATAAACCATCAAGTCTGTTATCTTCAAAATTCAAATGACGCCTCTAAAGCTATCCGACCAAAACTTCTATCAAGCTCCAATCACCACTCAGATCCCATTAAGACATAATATACATGTTGATAAGAAAAAAGTGAAAGATTAACGCCTAATGAGTTAAAACATTTTTTATCATATAAACATAAAAGGGTTAAATTAAGAAATTTCCTTTACACAAAGATTCCTTTATTTAAAGCATAAGTCATAAAAGGAACATATTTCCAAAGCTCGCCATTTCCAAACCAAATATTCGTTTAAATTGATAACGAACATCCAAACTTACCCAAAATGTGTGTGAGGCGCATACTCCAAAACAACAAAGATACAAATAATATTCTATATCTAAAACACGGGAAACGTAGAAAAAAATACCAAAAAAACACCTTTTGGTAATGGCGGAGACCCGATTCCATCATATGTTGTGGCAACACAAAACTAAGCCACTTTGACGTTCTTCATTTTCACCTGGGCCATAGATCCCCGTATACGAATCCATTGTGTACCACCACAAGGTTACCACAATGGCCCTGGTGTTTACTCGATATGTGGATAAGTTTCACCACAAAAGTCACCGGTTCCCATATATGGCTCCAATGAGCATCGGTGCAAGACGTAGCTCTGTACATGACTCAATAAAGTACCACCGCAAACTACTAGCTCACTATACGATCCAAAAGGTACCACCAAAAGCTCTCAAACCATGACTTGGTGACACTCAATAGACTTATGTGAGGACATCACAAATCCACACTTAATAAAACAACATACTCCTATGCATATGGATCCAATGTGCTACAGTCTAAATTACATGACTCCAATTAACTAATGCACTAAAAATCTGCCATATTCAAAAAATATGCAATAAATGCAATTCATATTCAATGTTCCATACTAAGTTATTTAAACTGGAAAAAATGTCTCCAAAACTCATATGAGTTACAATCAAGCCAATAGGTCCCACAACACAGTTGACTATTTAAATAAAGTCAATGTAAACTTGATAAACCAAAAAGGCATGTTTTCTAAATGTTTAGAAAACACATGAGAAATTTTATCTTTTCAAAGCTACGAGAATTTATCTTTCGCTACATTTCTACTTGGCTATACGACATGAGTTTCAATATACTGTCAACCCCTGCTGAAGCACGGAAAAATGTTGACCACGATTTCTAGCACTTTAAAAAAACCATTTGCTTGCAATGCTTGTACAGGTAAAACAGTATGAATTCTCTTTCAAGGCCCGCACGACTCATCCTAAGTGAGGGCTTAGCTAACGACACGTGCCTTTAGGGGCTCGCTTGGATAGAAAGAGAAAGTCTTCATCCTAGCTCAACTGAAAGGAGAAGAAGCGCCTATAATTAAGATATAAATAAAAATAGATCCATAAACCATCACTTGATTGGAGCATAATAGCAAAAGGTTCACACTACATGGTTTATACTTTCAAAATTTGCACAAAACCAATAGAAGGCATTTATCAAATATGTATACACTTATGACCAAAAGGGATAATATGCCACAATCCAGAGTTTATAAGTTCGGAAATATCCCAAAAACAAAGGAAAAAAAAACCCTTCAGCAAGTTAACAAATCCAATGAAATCATTATAACCCAAGTTACCTTTTTCAAGAGTCAAAATAATATTTAGTCACTAATCATCCAGATATATAAGAAATCTCATTTAATAAAATAAATATCTTTTGGTGTTTCAAATCATCCAATAAAAACATAATAAACAATCTTTCAAGACTTCATAACCCAATATGTTCAAATACACAAATATTCAACAAACCCATCAAAAGTGGAATAAACCCATAACGGTGTGTTCAAACCAAAACAAACATATTTTGACATGTATATACTTTAGCAAAACAACTAGAATTCACCTTACTAGCTTTGCGCTAAATCTAGGTTTCAATACCATAACTTGAGCTTTCTTCGGTGAAGGATTGGGATCTCTAAGTAAACCCCCATCCAAGATGTAAAGCTCTCCAAAGTACCTCTTTTACTCCCAAATCTTGACAAACAAAAACAAGAGATGAATGAGGGTTGAGGGTGCAGAGGAGGCAAACCCAAGGTAGATAGATTTTACTTTAACTTCTAGAAACTTCAAATCACTAAGCTAAGCCTTCAAAACATCAATAAATCGGTCCTAAAGCTCCAAGAGAAATCATGCTAGAGAGAAATGGAGATGGAGGAGGTTGCGTGGAAAGATGGAGAAGAACCCTAAAAATCGGGCATTTAGGGCCGACAGGCTTTAATGTGGCTTTTCATACAACTAAAGTCAAGTGAAAAGTCACTTAGATTCTCAAAAATTCACGAGGAAAGTTTCCCACTTAGAATGTAGCATTGGTCTCTATTCACGTGATTTTTTTTTCGTTTTTCATGTCCGATCAATCCTCGATGGACGTATAGTTCACATGTGAACTAATTTACAGGTTCACGTATGAACATAAAGTTCATATGTGAATCACACGGGTTCACATATGAATTCGTTTGTTGTCTATTTGTAAAAGTTATGAAATTACATCTCTATCTTTCGCATACCAATCGATGAATTATCCGGTGCTTCACAGTCAGAGCTACAAATCTTGACCACATGAAGGGTTAAGATCACTTCTTTACTTCTCAAATGAGCCTTTTCACACACACACACACATACACAAATATATATATATATATATATAACATTCTTAAATTTCCATGTTAATGGTCAAATGACCACTATAAACATAAATGAAAGCCTTCAAAAATTGTGGGTGTTACATTTTGCTATCAAGTTTTTGGCTCCTTTGTAGGAGATTGGCATGATTTTACATCCTAAGATATTGATTCCATTCCATTCTGAGTCAGCAAGTTTTCTTTAGCACTTTTTAGTGTTGTTTACCACAACTACAACATGATGAACTTTTTCTTCTAGATCCTTAAATTGAAAGAACTATTCGAAGTCGTCGGAGAGGTAGAAGAGGGAATCGGCAACCTCAAGTTATAAACATCATGGTTACGTTAGAGATGGACCACCTCCCATGGTCAACCACTATCTCTCGTGCAAAATACGATGAAGATTAGCAATGACAAGGAAAGAAGAATGTGGGACTATGCAACACTAGAATTTAATCAATTAAATTCGGGAATTCTTAGACCCAACGTCACAACACAACATATTAACTAAAGTCGATACGTTCCAAATGATTTTAAGTAATGAGTCAATTTGGAGGATTACCATTAGAAAATCATTTAAAATCATTTTTCAAATCCAAGAAGTTTCAAACGAAGCATTACGGCTAACACTCTTCACTTTTTTACTAAGGGATAAAGATAAAGTCTGACTAAATTCTCAGTCGCCCAACTCTATTGCTACTTGGGCCAATCTTGCTGAAAATTTTCTATGAAAAAACTTTCCTCCAACAAGGAATGTGAAGTTTAGAAATGAGATTTTGTTGTTTCTGCAAAGGTACTACAAAGTAGCTTCTGATTGAGTGGGAGAGGTTCAAGGAACTTCTTAAGAAATGTCTACACCATGGAATCCCCCATTACAACCAGTTGGATACATTTTATAATGAAGTTTCCAACTATGCAAAATTGTCCTGGATGCAAAAGTTGGTGGAGCCTTTACCGCTAAGATATACAATGAGGGGTACAATATTCTTGAGAGGGTCCCCGTGCATTTCCCACCAAGAATGTATCAGGAGATCATGATGTATATGTCATCACCACCTTAAATGCACAAATTTTAGTGTTAACCAACTCGGTAAAAAAATTACATGAACTTAGGTAATGAAAGAACCAAGTATAATCCTTGATGACTAATAAGACAACAAATGAAACATGTGAATTTTGTGGTGAAAACCATTTGTATAAGTATTGTCTCGGTAATCCCGCCTCTATCAACTATGTAGGAAAACATTAGAGGAATAGTCCATACTCCCCAACCTACAACATGAATTAGTGTAACCATTACAACTTTTCTTGGGCGGGTAATCTAGGACAACAACCCCCTGGGCAAGTTTTGGACATAGTTAAACTCAAAATCCCCTGCGATTTCAGAGAAACAACCATTCTTACCGAGGTTGATAGTACCCACACACCTGGGCAGCAAAATGGGTTAGACTGTAACGGTTCACTTGACTTATTGCTCAAAGGTTTTATAAACTAAAAACAATGCAACTTTGAGGAATTTTGAGACACAACTTGGTCAATTTACAATCGACCTTAAGGAGGGTTAACACGAAACTTTACCTAATGATACAAAAACCCCTAAGGGTATTCCATAAGAGCATCTTAAGACCATCACATTAAGAAGTGATATAAATATGGTAGACATACCCGTCACACCTGAAAATGAAGAAACAACACACTATTTTGACATGTCAAAGTTTCCTACGCTATTTACTCCCACAATGGTGACACATGTAGTCAACAATACCCCCATAATAGTTGATTCTGCAGCTCCAGCAACATCTTCGGCACCTGCACAGCCTCCCTACTATGAGCAAACTGTGGCCACATGTCGAGAACCTAAGAAAACAACTCCTAAGCATGTTGAACTTGACCTTAGGGACCTTACTTTTCCCGATAGGATGAAGCATAAAAATGTGGATGCATATTAAGAAGTTCTTGGATATCTTTAAACAACTTCATATTAAGATATCTTTGGTAGAGGCTCTTGAGAAAATTACAAACTATGTTAAATTCTTAAAAGATATCCTAAGAAAATATAGAAGGTTGAGTGAATTTGAGACTGTAGCATTGATAAAAGAATATAGTGCTCTCCTCCCCTGTAAAATTCCACCTAAGGCAAAAGACCTAGGTAGTTTCATGATCCTATGTTCTATAGGAGGTAAGGAAGATGTTCATGCATGAAGTGACTTATGGACAAGAATTAACCTCATGCCATTGTTCATTTTCAACAAGTCAGGAATTGAAGAAGTTTGTCCCACTACAGTCACCTTATGTTTAGTGGATAGAGCATTAGCTCACCTACAATGAAAAATAGAGGACGTATTGGTTAAGGTTGACAAATTTGTCTTCTCAATCAACTTTTTAATCATAGATTATGAAACAGATAAGAATGTTCCAATTATCTTGGGATGACTATCCCTTGCCACGAGAACAACCTTAATTGACATTCAAAAAGGTGGCCTAACAATAGGAGTTAATGACCAACACATGACCTTTAATGTCTTAAAGTCTCTAAAGTTCCATGGGGAAATGGAAGATTGTTCATCCATTAATATGTTGAGTGAAGACTAGGTGTAAATAATGATATATGTCTTTTGTGGTGATCGGTTTGAAGAAAAAAAGTGAGAATGAACTAGAGTTTTTAAAAAATGCAACCACCAATGAGAGTGAACCCGAGTGCGAAAGAAGAGAAATTGTGCCACCATAGTCTTAAGATTTTTTTTTGCCAAAGGATATGCATTCACCCACCAATCTCCCTTGTTGATCCCCTTTGTGTCGTGAAGGCTAGAAACAACCTTCTAAATAATGTGTTTTGCATTTCAGTATTTTTTTAGAAGTTAGTATTAGCTTCTAATCTTTTGGTTGGATGCAACAATTTTTGTAACTTTTTGCTGTATAGATTTTGCCACAAGTTTAGCCACGATTGCCACTCGTTATAAAAGATATTTCAAGATAATTTTTTAAGATGAGATGATCCATTGCATAAAAGGATGTCAAGATGTTTGATGGTTGTTTTGAAAAAGCATGCAAACAAAAAAGCATCCCTTCCCCATGTTTTGATTACTCTCTCATGATGCCTTTCCCTACTTTTTTATGTTAAAAAAACCCAAAGTTCCATTTCTAATTTTGCCATCATGTAACCCTCAATCCCACCCCGTCTAAAAAATTTCAAACGCCTCGTCTCCCTCAAAAATTACCCAACCCCTCCTTTATGAAAATCACCAATACCTTTCCTTTATCTCAACAACTTTTGTCCCTTCATCATTCTTACTCAATCACACTCTACATTTTTACCCAAAAAAGGAAAAAACACATTCTCTCACCCCACCGATCAAACTCGGGTGAAATATCATGGAAAGAAGGAAGCATACGACCACCTCAACCTACTCATTGAAGAACCAACGATATGGTCACAAGCGACTACAATGGCATGCCCCTCACCACTGATGACTACGGTTACCTCTCTTCATATTGGAAATAATTGTTTTGTCCTTATCTTATTCGTATCTCTTTTCTGTTGGGTATGTTGATTTTCCTCCTGGGTACACTTGTGTAACCCTTTTCTTGCATCTCCACTTTGGGTGGAAATTTTTGGGTGAATGACGTGCTTTTGGTAATATTTTGAGCATTTTTTCTTCTTACTTACCTTGTTGAGCTAATACTTTTGCGTGTACATTTCCCCTTTTGTTTCCTATGATTTATGGTTTAAGAGGATGTATGCCATTTGTTCGAGATTTTTTGGCCTGTACATTTACCTTTGTTACCTTGCCCAAAACACCACCCTAATCCCTTTCCTGCAATGAGAACATTGCATATATTAAGTTGTAGGGGGAGGTATTCCAGTGTTAACACAAACGAGCAAAAGAAAATCATATACGACATGCGGCTATAAAAGTTCCTATAGTGAGCCTAAGTGAAGGAAAAAAAAAATTCAAGATTGTCATCACAAAACCAGTTGGTTTGCACGTGGAAAAAGCAAAAATGGGTGAAATACATTTGTTCTAAGTCCAAATATATTTTATGTGTTCCTCAAAATAATAGGTTTGGGGGAGATAGAGCAAATCTAATGAGTGAGCAAGCCATAATCACAAGCCCGAGCAAGTCCTACCGATCAAATCTAACGTCATGGTCAACAAAGGGGAGGTGTACGTCATTCAAGTTCAAAGGTATTTTCCACCAAAAATATTTAGTTAATGCATGTTCTAAAAATTTAGGTCATCCTTTTATGTCTTTTTTTTTCACTTATTTTTCATTACTCAAAGACAAGTAATATTTCAAGTTTGAGGGTGTGATAACCTCCAACTTTTAGAGTTATTTGTCACTCCTATTAGACCATTTTAATACCCATTTGATCCTTGCACTTTTTCCTTGGTCTAAATTGTTCCTAAAGATGAGAAAAAAAATTAAAAGTTCGTAATTTGTGAGTTGAGCCGCCATTTTGGCCATAAGTGTAGCCACTACAATGATAGTGACTTAAAAGATTGTACAACGACTTTGTTGCCAAAATGGTGAAATCAGGAGTTGGCTTTGTCAAAACTCAACCCTGAAGTATTCATGAAAGATGAGGAGATGTGGACAAAGAGGGCCAAGACAAATGGAGCAAAAAGACGACCTTTGAGAGGTCTCTTTCCCTCTCTCAAGTCATTTTCAAGTTCTCTCTTCTCTTCGACCAATATAATGGAGCTTGAATAGAGAACTTGTACTTGGAACCTTGAAGCATCGGTTGAAAATAGTTATTTGTAATCTTGTATTTTCTTTGGTTAGAGCTTAGTTGTAAGTTTCTTTCTAGTATTTTCATTCATGTACCATTATGGCTACCAGTATGGCCAAGGTGACGAACTTTTTCTTAAAGAAATTTATCTTTATGTATTTCTTCTCTTCTGATATGTCTTTTCTTTTAAACATGAGCTAACCCCCTGCCCCTGGGTGTGGATGTAAGTCAGACCAAAAAAGTAGTATGTAGCACTTGGGTGTTATCGTTTTTTGCTAACTTCTTGGTTTAGTCAATCAAGTTGAAGCTTTAACTCAAAAAGGACAAGTCGATTACTTGAATATGTTAATATTAGATCTTTAACCTAGAGATGACGTATTCGAAATATGGCTTACGTGATGCAAGCAGGTTTGAGAAATTCTTCAACAATCACAGAGAGATATGAGTTTTTGCATAACTTTTAATAATATTCAGGAAATTGGTCGAATTAATGTGTCATAGAGATATGTGCATCTCTCCAAACTGGCGAAATTCGGATTTTCGAGATCTACATAGTAAAGTTGGCAAAACCAAAAGTTAGCGGTTGTGGTCACTTTGTGACTGGACCGAGGCCACATTCCAGCATGATTTACTTTCGAGAGGAAGAGATTGTGAAGGGTTATTGTGTGGCTGGTTCTTTCAACCATATAGTTACTATCGTACTCTTTGGGAAAAGCTTGCACCCATGCTCGCTTTTTATTTAGTTATGTTAGTTAATATTGAAGATCACCAAATCACTCTAAGAAGGATTAATTTTTAAAACCCAACTTTGCACCGGAAGATAGTGGAAATCTTAGATTCTTAGTAAAACCAGTCCTTGTAGATACGATCTTGGTACTTTACCATTATATTATTTGATGGCGTACATAAAAGTTGGTGTGCACTCACCACTATTGTGTCACATTTGTGGATATATATAACTTTTGCTATCACTTTCAAGGGGTTACATGTTAGTTTTGAGTCAAGTGTACCAACCACTACTTCTGAACCAACTACTACTGAGGAACGCATATTAATAGGCATAATCACACTTTGTTTGCATACTCGCATACTATTTGCATATTTCCATCTCACTTGCATATTCACATTTGTTTAAGTAGGCAAGTTGGAAATATTGAAGAAGTAATAGTCTTGAAGTTGAAGTTGAACCAGTTCCACCATTTGAGTTGTACTAATTCCTAAATAAAGAAGTGCATCTCTTAACAATAATTAGAGATCGAAGATTTTCATCCGTTACCCTAGTTTTGTTCATATTTAATAATATTGTCACACTACTCGTGTAATAATGTCTTGTTATTGGTCTTGTTCTTTTACTGAAGATTTAAAGGTTGTAAATATATTTATTAATTGTTGACAACCCAAAATTTATTTTAAAGGATTTGGACTAGTTGAATATAGATATCTATATGGATCTCTTTGATTGTTGAAATTAATTTTGTTTGGAGTGTTTTATTGTAATAATTTCTTTTATTAGAACTATATGATATAAGTTGAAACAGATTTTGCAACTCATATTATCCCAACCATGGATTCAAGATTATCAAATTTAAGGGGGTGTTTGGTTAGAGGTATTAAGCAGTAATCAATGGGAATGAAAATAAAAGAAACTGTTTGGTTTTTATAATATAATGGGTTCATTCCCCCCAAAAGCCCAAAATTTCATTCCTGGTTAAATTGGGGGGAATGAAAATTTATTCCCATTTTCATTCCCTGTCATTGTCATTTTCATTCCCATTTTCATTTCTCGGCATGAGCCAAACAGACCCTAAGTTGACTAATGATAAATTTATCCATAAGCCATTTGATCTTGATGCTTGTATATCACATTTACCTTTGATGCCATCCCAACCTAACAATAGGGATTCCTTTATAGCACTAGATGCTAGTTTAGAATTCATCACGTTTATATCAATGTTTGATTACATAAATAGTACTGTGTTCATCATGTGACCTCATTCCTTAGTGCCATTCCAAGACTCACATATTCATGTTTAACATTCATATATTGTACTAATTACTGAAGTACTTAAGTTTTAAATTACAATATAACTTTGATTGGATATTATTCTTAAAACATGGTTTAGATGTGTCATGTCTTTATCATCCTCTTCCGAGTGAGAATCGTTTTAATTATCTTGTTAAATACTGTTTTATATATGCACTCAAATTTCGGATTAAAATTTGGACAACTATTTGGTGTTTTAAAACACAATTCGTTTATACTATTATCGTCTATTTCACTTCCATCATCAATCATTTGGTCTTGAAATCGTATAATTTAATTACAATTAAAGTTGATCACTTTCAAGGAGATCTGTTGGGCTATATATCTATGGTGTATCTGATAAATCGGGTTAAAAGGATGCCATAAATCTTTAAGTATCATAAAAGACTTCTTTAAAGGATTTAATTTTATAGAAACAAATAGATTCGTGTCCTATATAAAAAGCATTGCAATAGGTTTTTTAAGGACGTTTTTGGACGTCTTAAAATGGTTTTTAGGACGCTTTTGAAGCTAGTTAAGATGTTAAAAAACATCTTATAAATCTGTTACAACTCTCTTACATAGGACATATATATGTTTGGTTCTATAAATTGGAGTCCTATAAAGTAGTCTATTGTGATACTTATAGAATTTTGGAGTCTTATAAACCCGATCATGTTGTAAAGTTTAATGTTAGTTAAAGAAGAAAACAAGTTAAAGATGGATCTAATAAAATGATAGGAAAAAACCCGAAGTTAGTATGAAAAGACGAGATGAATCCATGTATTATCGAACACAAAGTTGTAGATTGTTTTGATCCTTTGTGCATCTTTCCGCGTTATATACAATTCGTTTCACGTTCTATATTAGTAATTACACGCATTCTAGGGCCTCTAAGGCGAGGGAAGATACATTTCCAGTTGGTCATAGATCTACATCTTGAGTTTATCTTCTATCTTCATTTGTAATAGTAGTATGCCACATTAGATCCAAAATAGAAGATGAAGAAATAGATAGCACACTGCTGTGACTAGCTTCCCATTCAACTAGATATGCATTTCATATATTATTACTTGAGATCTCGTCTCTAATAGATTTACGTATATATGTACGTATATGTGCATATGTACTTTATGCATATGTGTATAAGTCAAGTTCAGAAGAAAATCGGAAAGAAAATGAAAAATTTAGGAACACACACCGGTAACCTTTCATCTTGACGGACTAGTAATTTGTAAGCAATTTTCATTATATGCACACGTATATCAAAACCAATAATCAACTTCAATTACTTATGTGTACATATGCATACGTTATAGATGAATGGTTAGCAATGTACATGTTCCTATTTTTTTCATTTAAAATCTCTCTCTGTATATATGTATGTAGATTTGAGATCATGTGAGAGCAAATGTTTTTGGTAAAACTCGTAAGACCAATTCTCAACCCTTGGATTAGATCTACAATATAACAATCTGAACATTCATAAACGCCACGAGACTTCTCAATAATCACAAAATTGTCACCGTACCATTAGATTATTAGCTTATAAAGTTGATCAATGAACATAAATTGGTCTTACGGGTCTCACGAAAAACCGTAGGTCTCACTCGAACCCAACCCTATGTATGTATGTATATATATATAGAGAGAGAGAGAGAGAGAGAGAGAGAGAATAGTTTTGGTTTGAACGCATGGGAACTCTGGAAAGAAGCAAAATCACAAGTTGTTTGGGGGAGAAAGAAAATAACATTAAATTCAATGGACTTACTCCACCTCAAACCCCCCTCCGTCCTCCAACTTTCTCAATCTTTTTGCCTCCACAATGCCAAAAAGTCAAAGGGTCAAACTTCCCATGGCCGACTTTAGCACCATACAGCCCACAAATGTTAATTCTTTTTAAGTTTCCCAGTTCATTATTGCGACTCTTTCTCTCACATCACCACCTTCTCTTTCTATATAAACCCCACCATCTTCCTACCCTAATGTAAATATCAGCATCTTCCCAAAATACCACTTTCTCTCTATAAAAACTCTTTTTCCATCTCTCTTACACAGCAAATTTAACACAGATACATCAAGTTCAATTATCCATCCATCAGTCTACAGTGCATGGGAGATCTTAAGATGAACAGCAGCAGTAGTAACAGTAACAGTTGTATTGATATGAGTGGTGGTGAAGAAGATGATCAAATGAACATGATGATGGATGATCTTCGAAGAGGTCCGTGGACCGTTGAAGAAGATTTCGCTCTTATCAATTATATCGCCCATCACGGAGAAGGCCGATGGAATTCTCTTGCTCGCTGTGCTGGTATGTATTCTACCCTGTGCTCTCTCTCTCTCTCTGTGTATATATATATATATATATATATATATATCTTCTCATTCCTGCAACTTACCCTACATATACCGATGCAGCATCCTACAGTTGCATGTCTACTCCGATCAACCATTAGATAGTTGTCGTACATCTTTATAATAGGGTTTTTGTATTCACAACACAAATCAAATTTCAAAGAAAATCTAGATTGTAATCTTCCATTGAAGTCTTGAATTTTTCTTCTTCGTATCTGTTTGTATCTGTATTTACTAATTTCAACAACATAACTTTCAATTTAGAAGTTTAAAAACTAATAAATGTAAATGAGAAATGGAGTCATCAGATCGATGTTGGGGGGAATTAGAGATAGTATTAGCTTTTAGTTTATCTGGACTTTTTCTTGAAATGTTTCTTTAAATCTATGAACAATAATTAGAAAAATCTTGTTAGCTTATTTTTAACCTATAATTAGCAAAACAATTAATCTAATTAAGCTTTCATTATATTAATGGTCTTGTTGTTTCTAGGAAACAACTACTTGTAATTATTCTTTTGCATTCATCTTCCCAAAAAAAAAAAAAAAATAAATTGATTATAATTCATAAAGTTTCTAGGGAAAAAGAAAGGAAGAAAATGTCCCTTTCTAGTTAATATGGACATCCATAAACTTTAGCAACAGTTTTTTTTTCTCATTATATTTTTCTTTATAATTTTTTAAATTTTATTTATTTAACTAAACGAATACAGGACTCAAGAGAACCGGAAAGAGCTGCAGATTGCGGTGGCTTAATTATCTCCGCCCAGATGTTCGTCGTGGAAATATTACTCTTGAAGAACAACTCCTGATTCTTGAACTTCATTCTCGTTGGGGCAACCGGTAAGTACACGGTTCATATTGTTATTTGTTCGGTATTAAATTCGATAGGTTTTCTGTTTAATTAAGATGTATTTTATGTAATATTGACAAAAGAAATACACAGGTGGTCAAAAATTGCACAACACTTGCCGGGAAGAACTGACAATGAAATCAAGAATTATTGGAGAACCAGAGTTCAAAAACATGCTAAACAATTGAAATGTGATGTTAATAGCAAGCAGTTCAAGGACACTATGCGTTATCTTTGGATGCCACGGTTGGCCGAGCGGATTCAAGCAGCTTCCACCACCACAACCACCACCCGCGCAAGTCCTTCCACCATAACCACCACCAACACCACCGCCTACCCACTCAATCAAAATAACATGGATCATACCGGTACAAGCCAATTGGTAATGCCCCACAGTTATAATTCTGATGTTGGGAATAACCAAATCAACCCCGGTTATGCAACGGAAAATTCAGGCACCACTGCGGTTTCACCGGTGTCCGACATGACTGATTGTTATTATCCAATCCATCCGACCCAAAATCAAGATTTCTTACAAAACAACAACCAGTTAGGTGATGAGTTCGATGGTTCCCTAATTAGCCCCTCAGGTTACTTCAACCAAGAGATGGATTTTGAAGCAATGGTGGAGGAAAACAACCAATGGTCTGGTAGGAATAGTGGTGACTTTTCAGACAGTTTGTGGAACGTTGAGGACATTTTATTTCTCCAACGACAATTCAACAACATGTGAAGAATAACCAAAAATCTGATTAAGTTAATTTAGTCATACATTATCAGCGTAGGAATTAAGTTTAATTGCAAAGGATTTACGATATATTTGTTGAATTTACAATAAGAAAAATTCATGTTTTTTTTTTCTTTTTGATTAATGTCTTATGAATTGAAATCTGAAATATAATTTTGAGTCCTAACTTTTAATCAACTCTCTTTTTTACATAACTATTATTAATTTTACGATTCCGCAAACAAATAAAAAGAGAGAGAGAGAGAGTTTGATTAACTTCACCAAATTTTAGGTTGATTTACATCAATTATACTTGGTATTTCATTCATCACTGAGAAAATTTAATTCGAAATTAGAAGAATCTGAAACTTATGATGTTAGATTTCGTAATACGTGCTATTTCTAAGCAACAAAGATATAAAACTAATCAAATGGGCTTTGGTCTAGCGGTATGTGAGTCTTTGACTTTCTATGATGTCACGAGCTCGAATCTCACCAAAGATGAAAAGGGTATGTGAGTTTATTTGTTCTATTTGTCGTATATAAATATTATATACTTAAAAACTATATAATATTTTTTTTTGTGGTTATATATGTATATTTAGTGCATATGATAAATAGTTGTATGCATATGTGGATATAAAAGTATTTTGCAAGATGAAAGGATAGGAATATACGACATCAATTATTTTCATGTATTTATAAATTAAAAAAATACATATATATTATTGGTAATATTAATATATATGGTTGCATAATTAGAAGTACTGTGTTTTTCACTAATGGCGTACTGCAATTTGAGATGTGAATAATTGGTTCCACTAACTCTATTATATAATATATAGTTTAGCACCTTAAATAATGATGCATTACATCAACCCATGGAAATTCTGAAACCTAGTTTTGTAGGCCATCATCTTTAAAATTTAAATTAATAAAGCTATACAAGTATTAAATAAAACAAACCCATGTCCTACTTCTACATTTTCTTTCTTATTTATTAGTTTCAAATTATGACAACTTGTTACGTTAACAAAACTGTAATTTATACACTTGCGAGTTGATTTAATTTAGGCATGTAGGTGATGCGATAACCCATCTCATATTCATAAAACGGAATGATATATATAGGGGCTGGTTCAAATACTAACTAAGATTATCGTGTTAACTTTGTTAACCGATCTTGGTCGTTGATTTGAACATCCAACGGTTGTCATTTATTGAGACTAAAAATTTAATTATTTAATTATCATATTAATAAAAAATTAGGTTCACAATGGTTCAGATGGTAGAATTGTAAAAAGTGAATGATCTTAATGTATCCTATTTTGTCAGCATATTCTGTAACTTCCAATCAATAAAGAAATCGTATGAACCTAATGAACAATTGAAACATGTCTGCGAACCAAATGGACATATTGTGTGAACCAATTGAACACATATGTGCACGAGTGAACACATATGTCGACGTTTGAGTGAACATGTCTGTGAACGGTTTGATCATTTTCTTCACTTTCGGAATTCGAATTCCGAATGTATTTGTAAACGCTTTTAGCTTTTTCATTCTCATTGTCGTCGATCTGTTTTACTCTATGATTATCCATATTACTCGAACTATAACGGAATCTTTACAAAAGGGACTTTTTTGAAATTTACAATATCAAAACCATTGTAGGAAGAATGAAATGTAAAAATCAGTAAGATGAACAAATGTGAAACTTCATGTTATTATTACATGAAGATCAATTAGTGATATTTTAAGATTTGTAACTCCTAATTAAAATATTGGGGAGTTACATAAAAATGACAAATTATCTAAATACCCTTACACTTAATATGTGAGTTACATTTGAACCTAACTAAAAGATGGAACATGATTGGTTGATGTTGGTTAGCATAGTTAACACAAAAAAATTGGTTAGTATTTGAACCAACCTATATATATATATATATATATATATATATATTTCTTATAAGTCGTTTAAAAGTTACGAGTTATCAATAATTCAACTATGGTTTTAAGTTTATTTTGAAGTTAGTCCTTATATATACTCTATGACCTTAGGATTTGAGATGTTACACAAAATTTGTAACAAAAATATAAAAGTGGATTAATGATGTAGCATGAATCGCATAGTTGATGGATGATGTCACGGATCAATAGGAAAAAGGAAAACAATCTCGAAAGGTTTTCAATTTGTCTTTGAAATACGTAAGAAAGGTGGAAAAAATGTCATACAAGACATACTATGCGACTCCAGCCGCCAGAAGGGTCGCCTTCGTGACTTGGGTCGCCTAGCTAGTCACCCGCACACGTCCTGAGAGATTATTATCATTTCCTTTTGATTAACATTTATTTGTTTTCTTAGTTAGATTAGATTTAGATTTTCTTTTCCATTTAACTGTAAATAGGAACACCGGTTTCCTTTCAAATCAGTTTATGAATGAATGAATTAATTATCATTGAGTTCGAGTTTTCTATCAAATTACGTTATAAAACAAATGGATATTTTACAAAAATTCTATTGAAAATGTGGGTTTTCGATGGAAGTTCGACAAACATTCTCGATGATAACAATTTGGTCAGAAAACAAACTTTTGCACAGATTTTCAATGAATTGCAAAGGATTTTCGATAGACCATTCGTTATGATTTTCACGTGACTAAGTTTTGAGGGATTCTTGATGGAACTTATTTTCGATGGATTCTCGACATAATATAGTTGCAAGAAATTCTCGACGAATTAGTTTTTCAAGAGATTTGGGACTGAACTTGGTCAACCGTCGTTAACTAATGTAGAGTCCATAAAGACGGGACGACTGGACTCGGTCAAAATCACGACTAAACGACCAAAACAAAAGCCTGTGCGACTTCCTGCACGACCTAACCCGCTGGCTCGCGTAACTCACTGGAGTTCAAGAAAAGGTCCCTCGCGGCTTCCCACGTGACCTCACCCACGGTTACAGTTACGCAACTCATTGGATGCTCGACGGGAAATCCTGTGACCGACTCCGCAACTTAAGCCGTGTGGTTAGCCACGCGTGCATCTGGACGATCCCCCTATTTGATCGATTTCTAGCTATATCCACAATTCCACCTCAATTAATATCTTAAGTTAGACTTTAGCTTAATTATTTTTTTATCTTTTAGTTAGTTTAGAATTCATCCCTTATGTCTTATTTAAACATCTCTAGCTTAATATATTAATCAAATTATTAAGTTCTCAGTAAAGTCTTCTTTGATTTTTCTCAAATATATTTGAGTTCTTATGATTGTAAACCTCGTTAACCATTGGGATTAGACGCTTGTTGTCCATTACCATTTCCTACTGCATTAGATGGTATCAGAGCACAGTCCCTTACATGAGCGATTTGATGGCATCACAGTGGCTTTATCTCAACCCTCACCACTCTAACCACAACCTTCACAAACTAGATCAACACCAACAATGATAAACGACTGAGAAGAGATAGGCAAGGAGATCATAATCTCCCGTCACGTGGTGGCTGTCCAAACCCGACCGTCAGTTCTAGTTCCGAATTAGAACCTGAGGAGGATGTAGAACCGCCCCGTAATAATCACGATACTAGATGAAAGTCAACATTCCCTACTTCTATGGAACTTTGGGGGAGAAGAGTATCTAGAATGGCAGATTGAGGTCGACCGTTTCTTCGACGTCATGGAGATACCGGAACATAAACAAATTAAGATGGTCTATTTTCGTCTCAAAAGCACCGTTGTTGTTTGGTGGGACAAACTAATGGCTCGATGGTAAAGACAACATAAAAGGTCTACTCAAATCATCGGACAAATGAAGCAATTGATGATGGACAGATTTCTACCCGAATATTACGAAAAAAATCCTCTACAAGATGTATCTGGAATGTTCTTAATGTATGGAACCAGTAACCGAATACAGGGCTAAATTCCTACGACTCTCCGAGTGAAACAAAATCGGTAAAACGAAAGGTCAGAAGTTTGCACGTTATATCAGCGGGTAAAGGAGCTCCATTGAAGAGAAAATCGGACTCAAGATAGTATGAACCGTAACTGAAGCATTAGGTGTGGCCATAAAGGCAAAGTGAATAGAAAAATCCTCTCAGACGTCATCCTATCTAAGGTATGCTTCCCAAACTCCCATTGAAAAGTTCAATTCACCACTTGATAAAGGAAGAGACGCGTCATCAAACATAACTACGAAGATCCCGATCCCCCACCTTGGAACATTACCCCTCCCAATGCAAATCCACCACACCAAATCGATCAATCCTTATGCTAAACCAACAAGACTGAAGTGCCACCCTTGTGGACAATAGGGCCACCGGTCCAACGAATGTAACAACCGTAGAACTACATGATTTTTAGATGGTGAAGAAAATGGGGATGAAAATGAATACGAAGGGGCCGAATTTGCAAAAGATGAATTTGAACAAAGGGTTAACATTTTGTTACAAAGAGTCCTTCTTTCTACTATCTTCAAAATCGAATGACGCCTCTAAGCCATCATATCGGATCCTCAACAAAACTACATACATCACTCAAATCCCTCTAAGACCTGATATACATGCCAATAAGAAATAATTTTTTGGCTTAACTCCTACTGAGTTTAGTTTTATCTCATAAAAGGAAAACAATAAAACTAGAAGAGTTCTTTTACGCCATCAAATCATTATTTAAAATAGCATTCCAAATCAAAGAAATATCTTAACATGTACTTACAAGCCAATGATCCCGGGGTCCTACTCCACAAAAGTTCATCCACAAAATACCCCTAATGACAATTGACGACTCTACCAATAGAGAGGCTGAAACTTGGGTTCTAGTGCCCGGTTCCTCACAAGTTCATCACCATAATACCCAAGGTCTTGGAAGTACGACTCAACAAGAGATCACCTCTGCAATACCTATAGTCTCGGGTCCACTGGTTACTCTCTACAATATTGGTATGGTCCTAGAGTCCAATGCACATTGGTTCCTTTCCATAATACCGACTACCAATATTAACAGTAGGATTGACTCACATGCCTATGGATCCAATGCATTACAGCCTAAAATTACATGACTCTAATTGAATAGCCAACACACTCAAAACATGTAA